GCAGATGCCCTGTGAGCACCTTCAAGATGAATCGCTCCATGACCTTTCCCGGCACGGAGGTCAGGCTGGCAGGCCTGTAGTTCCCAGGATCCTCCTTCTGGCCTTTTTTGTAGACGGGTGTCACATGGGCAAGCCTCTAGTCTTCTGGGACCTCCCCTGTTAGCCAGGACTGCTGACAAATGATGGAGAGTGGCTTGGCAAGCTCCTCCGCCAGCTCCCTCAGTACTCTCGGGTGGATTCCATTACCTTTAGACTTTTTTTTTTTTAAAGAAGTATCTTTACTATGATACTTCTTTAAAAACGCCATAATGTTTTATCAAAGAAACATTATTTAACAGCACCCACTATTTGACAGTTAATCATTCTCAATGTATTCCACAAGTTATGGTTTCTACAAGGTTCAAAAAACTAAGATAAAACTTCCATAGGTTAACCTCTCCAGCTGTACTGTTGTAATACAGCCAAATCCTTATAAGATTCCAGCAGATGATACATAGAATTGTATCTTTTCAGCCTTAATCCATTCTGATAATTCCGACTTATTTCAATAACATATTCACAACAACACTGCTGTTAAACTAATAGTCAGAAAGCAGACACAGACAAGCAATCATGGAATTACAAAGAATGAAGAAGTTAAAAATATTGAAGGATTCATAGAATGCAGTCAACAGCCTTAAAAATGCTCACACAACTAAAAACCACAAACAAAAACCACCAAACACCCCACTCCAAAACTCTCAAATCAACAGGAGACATATGAGAACAGAAAGCTTAACACAGATACCAAGGAGGACTTCAATCATTTTCCAGCCATTTACCTCTTTGAAATCTGTTGCACCATCCAAACAGTTTTTCCAGGTTTCTGCAAGACTAGATAACACATATTAATCACACATGTGTTAAAAAAAAATATTTTTTAAGGCTTTAGACTCAGTTGATGCATATTTGAAAATAATACCAACCCAGTTACAGACAAAATGTAAACAAACCTGTTGAACATTCTGTCAGCATGATCAAACTTCCCATTCTGCAGACAAAGCATGTATTCTGGAGCTAAGGAGAAAGAAAAAGTCACCAGCTTGCTCCAAACCTTGTCCACTTTGGAGGTAACTGTCTGATCAGACAGCATGTAAAAGCTGTCTTACCAACTCTAACGAGATAAAACAAAACATAACCCGGAGATGAATAATGGCTCCCATACATGAACTTAGGCTCTGCCATTTCCTGATAACGTGTCTGCAACATATGAAGAAAAAAAAAAGAAAAAAAAAAGAGGTCTGTTTAAAATCATCACTCCTGCTTTCCTTCAATATTGGACACATACACACTTCTTTTAAAGACAGAGATTAGGACCACCCTCACTTTTTTTTTTTCCCCCTAACAATAAAACAAGCTCTAAGTTCTAATAACCATGCAGCTTTAATCAGATCAGTAAATCAATAAGGCAAAAAAGTTGTTATAATTTATCCACAATTATCAGGTTTCCACCCTTTTTCCCCCCACTCTCTCACACATAATTGTAGTGACTCAACTTCAAAGGGGTGCAAAAAAATACTTCCTTTTTGACTTTCACATGAAGTTTAATGAGAGTATGGAAGAACGTACTGACTTAATTCAACCTGGAAGATTGCCTCCTGCCTGAAGCTCCTATATGTTATCCCTAAAACCTATCACAATCTAAATAAAATTACTGTTACTGCAGTTAAGTATGAGGCAGCTAACAGTTTGAGGAAACAGCCAGATCTCAGAAAGAAAATTTTACTGTTATTGAAAACATAATATTGATCATATTCTTACCTTCCACAATCTTAGGAAGCTTTATGATTTTGAAATATTTAATCTTATTTATCAATATAATGCATTTAGTTTGGCAATTAATGTTCTAATGCTTCATTAAGAATTAAAGGTTACAAAACATTAATATAATTATGTTCTGTAAATAATTTTGGAACAATTAACTTACCATAGAAGACAATGATTTTATACAAAGAATTAAAAGCCGAGAAAATTAGAACCTTCTTAGCCTGTAACTATGTGTTTGACTGCTTATGAGAAGAAAGCCTGACCATTTTGAGAAATGGAAAAGTTTGTGCACTATTATCTGCATGTGGAAATTTCAGGTTGGTCTTCTGATCTCCATGGAACCAGATTTCCTTCCGTTGAAGAACTCTGCCTCAAATTCAGCATTTTTCTTAAATGGAGGTACCTAAGATTTCTACTACTTTGTCTTGTTTAATCCATACACCTATTTTACATTATGCATTTAAATCCATTGGTCTTGATGTTTTATATTTCCCAATATATTTATAGCATCTCAGTGCCCACCATACAAATACAACAGTTAAATGGACTTGCGTATTTTATTTTAAAAGTGACATAAAACATTTAAAAGCATATAGGTATGAAACGGTAGTAAGAGAGAACAAACAGATTCAAATCACTTTAAATTAGTACTGACAAAATCAGTACTGATGAAAACCAGCTGAAAATAGGTATGGTATATTTATAGGTAAGTTTGCTTCTGATAATGTTTATAGTTAGTTTTAGATAACTATAAATTCCCAAAGCTTACTTGACAAAGCTCCTTCTATTGACAATGTGTACAAGGCCCAAAATTTGCAGCACATAGAAGCTAAGATATACATACCAATAATCTATCCAGTCTTTCCTTATTTAGGGCACCAACTGGTTTACTAAGGTCACGGAATGTTTCAGGCTTTGTCAGATCTAAAAAATCACCATAGTTAAATGCATTGTTTCTACTAGGCAGGCATATGTTCTATTCAGTATTTGAAAACAAACAAACAAACAAACCCCCCCAAACAACAAAACAAACAAAAAAACCTCAACCAACACAGAACCCCTCCAGTAATTACCTCTGCTCCCTAACTACAAAAGAATAGAAGTCTCACTGTAAATGGCTACTCATCTCCTTCCTTCCAAGTAAGCTAAATCTCAAACCTCTTGTTTAACAACTAGTAGTTACATATATGCGATAGCTACTGCAACCAACATCACCTCGTCACTATAGGTCCCGCTACCTGAGGCACAAAAGCTGATGGTATCTTCTTTCTATTCATTAACTATTTTGTCACACTACAGTTCAGCCCCACCAAACCATCTGATTGGAGCGTTGGAGCCAATGCTGATGAATACCATGAGATTACCCCCAAACATGAGATTGTTTGCTTCTTCAACTTGCAAGGCTGTAAAAGAACACCTTAATTCTATACATTTCAATGCATCCAGCTTGTTCCATAAAAGGTCATTTTACTTTTGCATTTATTGGAATCACAGAAAGCGTTTGAATGCTCAGGACTGCAGGTTTTCAAAGTGACCAAGCAAATGCTTGGTACATACTCTGTATGTGATGAGTGAAATATTTAACAGAAAAAGGTGAGGTATTTTGTCCAAGGGTAAGTGCACAAGAAAACACCCAAGATTGCTAATGCCAGGATCATTCTGATGTACCATGAACTTTAGACAGTGTAAACCTGCCTGCCCCCCGTCCCCTGCCCCAAGATATTTCAAGCTGGACATGATACACTAACATGCCTTTTTGTATACACATACCTAGTACTGAACTAGAGTAGTCCGCTATGATCCACGGAAATACAGGATACTGGGAGAGATCGTTGCAGCTCCTGTCAGCCAGATTGTTGAGATGAAGAAGATACTGGTAGTTTGATATATGTCCTCGCTGCCATTGCAACATATAACTTTCAGCTGTATGCTCTGTTATATGATTTTCTAAAATAAAACAAAACATTAAGAGTTTTGAAGTTTGCAGTTCTACCCCCAAATTACACAGTGATTAACATTATGCAAGGTACTATAAAATAATTAAGGTCAAAGTTGTTGAAAAGAATAAGTCAAAATTAAGTGGTAACTTTATTTCAATAGCTACTGTACCTTATACATTTTGTAAGATCTGTTCAAAGAGGCCTGAACTGTGTTCAACAAAAAATCATGCAAAAAGAGTACTGAAACCAAACATGGAAACAATGAATGGGAAAGAACTTGAAGATTTATGGAGGTATAGAAAAATATCTGCAGACCATGAACTCTTTGCAATCCAGCAACCTTTAAGATTTCAAATTTCTAGAAGTAGTTCTGCTAGAGTCAAGAAAAAAAAAATTCCTAATGGGCAACTAAGGATGCCCATTTACAATGACATGGGAAGTCACATTTACATCTAAGTTGGTTCCAGTTTCATAACCACTGAAACAGAGAGGCTAGGTCATCAAACTTCACCACCACTCAAGAAAGCAATTATGCACCTGGAGTTTCTGTTTGAATCATTACGCAGGGGCTCAACAAATTCAAAATTGCACTGCACTCCACTTACTCGCTAGAACACAAAGCTATGCTGCTGGACAATAAAATGGCATGCGAATATTGATTTAATTCTGTCTCTCCGTTTTAAAGTGAAATTAAAGAGGTGTCATCCTTATCTTTGGCTGTCCTTTCAGTGCCAGGTTTATCAAGAGAAATGGGAGGAGTGATTTTGCACAGAGGGGTATTTTTTTTTTTTTTAATTGTTCCTTCCATTGATCCAGTTTACAGCACCTTGGCAAGAGCCTGAAATAGCAGAATTGAAGTACTGCAACCATGGCACGATGGCAAGAAACCATCCAATAAGCCTCCTCATGAAGTAATCGCAGTGAAAACACATCCTTGCCATACAGCACACTTCTGCATGCTCGTTTTACTGCATCTGTGTTACAGGCTGGTCTTCCTCCTACTGAAAAGTCTTTAAATACCTTTTACCACCAATTGCTGCTGAAGGCTACAACACAAAGCTAAAGAATTAGGACTTTTATTGAATTAGTCTAATATTATCACTACAATTATTAACTAGTAGGAAAGAAAATCAGATTATGATGTGGCAGGCCTCTATTTTAGCTCGGCATGGACTGGAAAAACCTATTCCAACCCACCCTTAGTACCTTAAATTCTACAAGTACAAAATGTTAGCACCTTCAAAGAAAGTATTTTCTGCTGTCAGAGACAGCTACTGAGGGGCTACAAACACCTTTAGAGAAAGGGCTCACCCTTTTTTTATTTCTAAGCTCCAGCAACAACATCATCACCTTCATCTGAAAGTTTCAGAAAACAAAGTCTGAAGCAGGGTAACAGCATGCAGTTATTTCAATAACAGAGAAAGTCATGTCAGAATCTATTTCTTCTAAATCCAAAAGACCTTTAACAATTGTCAGGAGAAGTGCTCACTCCTTTGTGGCCTTTCCACCTTGCTTTGTGAAGTGGGGAAAATATCAACCAATATTTAGGCAAATTCATTATAACAGAACTAGAGCTGTAGAGTACAATAACAAAATAATACAAAATTTACATAATCACTTCCAATATTGGCAGTAAACATGAGTTTCAATGTTTTAGGTAGTAGTATCACAGAAAAACTATTAGCTTTTTCTTTGTGTTTGTCCAGCACACACACTAGCCTTTTAGAAAGTTTCTGTTCATGATCTGCAACAGATATGTATCACTTTTTAGGAATTAATGCAGACAAGATTTACTAGAAATGAGAATTCAACTGTTTCAGAATGGTATTTTTCATCAACCACTGCTAAGACTGAGGAAAGTTCATTTGCATGTCCACTGGAAATCCAGTGGACATAAGATTAAATTACAGGAACTTTCTGAAAAGGATTTTTACTTGGACTTAACTTGAGGGCCAGGGGGATCCACCCATCCACCCACAAGTCAGTCCATATTCTTTCAGCAAAACACAATTTAGCTGAGTGGATCTTATTTTCCCCTCACTTTGAAGATAAAGTGTTTTGTGGGATTTTTTGTTTCATTTGTTTGGTTTCTTCGGGGGGTTGGAGGAGGAGGAAAGAGTTGTTGGGGTTTTTTTTTAAACAACAGTCCATATCAAGCTGCAAATCAAAATAATTAGTTTCACCTTAATAATGCTATCTCAGCTTTCATACTCAGCTCTTTGAACACTATGCAAGTTCACAACATTCATTCTGAACTTTGCTTACTTCTATAAAAAATTTTTAGGGCTAATACATCTGTTTATTCTTCTCACTTCCCACAAATGAACAGAACAAACCCTGATAAGTTTCCCCTTACAAGGTACTACAGACTACATTAATAAATAAATACTGCAAACCTATGTATGTTGCAATAAGGAAATAGAACTCATCTCGATCTTGATAGTTGTAGAATTTCAAGTAGATGTCAGAACATAGATCATTTTCTGTGCAAAATACTTCAAGTCCCTTAGAAGTTAAAGAGGGAGAGAAAGTAAATGACAGCAATTACTGACAAGCTGTAATATTCATGTTGTTTTAATAGCATATTCCAGTTACTCATACCTAACACTTAAGACTCTAAACTGGGTAGCAGTTTCGCCCACAAAGTCTAACATTTTCATCTGTCCTATTTCCAACCATAAAAGCATTCTGTTTACACCTAAGTGAGCAAGTATAGATTTATCACTGTCCATAGATAGGCTGTGCCTGGATTGATTAAGCACAGGTAATATACTTTTTTTTGTCCTACATGAATGGAGTGAGGCAAACAGTTAAATGTCTATTTAGTTTAAATGTGTTTTAAGAGAAAAAATTTTGTTCAAGACTGAAATTTCAGCGGAAACACTGAAAGCATACAACTGAGGTTCTACTGCAACACTCTCACCATCCCTCAGCCATGTACAGTGGGACTCATCAGTCCCCATTAGTCTCAATCTGAACCAGTGACCAAGCTCCCTCCATGAATCAATCCAGAGAGAAAATACACCATGAGAGAGCAATTCATTCTATCCCAAGATAGGTGTTTGAGATAAATGGAATGAATTGCTCCCTGGAGGTACTCCCGTCTTCTTTCCCCTACACGCTGCTTATGAAAGAAATTTTTCATCCTTAACAGGGTTCACTTTTCCTGTTTTCATCTTTTTTACAACACAGGGAACTAAAACACTTAAAAAACCAGAAAGGATCGTAGAATGCTGTTCACTACTTAATCCAGAGGTTTTAAAAAACATATAGCTTTTACTTAATGGTGCACATAGTTTCAGCTGGTCACTTTAAGAAATGATATATACAGCAAGACATTAAAAAAAAAAAATTCTAGCTTACCAGTGGCATTAGGCCATGTCTTCTTTTATAGATGCGACGCACGTTTTGCAGTGTTATTTGTACTACTGGTTTCTGTGGGGGGCAAGGGAGGAGGAAGAAAAGATTGGAGAAATTCCAGAAGGTATATGTTCTTCCACATTAACCTCTTCAGCAAATCTGAAGTTCTTCTTGATTAGAGATACTAGCAATATGAAAACAATATCCATCCATGTCATTTTAGCCATGGAACAGCGGTGCTAAGCAGTTATGTTAAAAAGAGGAAGCTTGCCTTTGCTGTTAGTTGTTGTTTGAGTAGCAACGCAGTTTAAGAATAAAGAAAGAATAGCTTATTATCACCCGAGTCTGTCGCCAGTTGTAACAATCGTGCAAGAGAGGAGCAGAACAAAACAAACAAGACTAAACACAAGGAAACCATGGGGCTGCTGGGCAAACTGCTTGCCAACGGTGCCACCTGGTGGGGGGAAATTGAATGGCTGCTTGTCCTCTCAGCTGTGAAACACATTTTCCTTGTCTGGACCTACTTTTAGTGTGTTAGTGGCCTGCTCAGACTATAGCTGTGACAAAACTTCCAAAGCAGTAATCTGTGTGCAACATGCACTCAGTTTTCCCTCTGGAGAAAGAAATGATCAGTTTAATAGAACACCTAGCTAAGATCTTCCAATAAACTAAATGTATATAAAACTCTCACTAGGTAGGAGCAGCATCACAGAGTAAGATTAAGAAATTTATCTTAAATGAAACATTACAAAAAGTGATCTTTAAATATTAATAAAGAATGAGCAAAGGTCATTTTGTGCTTTGTCAGTAGGAGGTAAACTTGAAGCAAGTTAGCCCAGAATAAAGCCTCAGAATTAAAGATACACTGAATGCAACAGAGCAGCACAGATCAAAGGAAAACTAAGGAGCTTCTGATTATAACTGAAAATAGAGTCTTCTTGGAGATGTGCATTTAAAAGCAATAATACAGAAAATGAAAACTGTCCACTAGAGGGGCAGTGTGCTCACATCATATGCAAGACCATCTATGAGGCACTTACAGGATATCCATTAAGAGGCTGGAAGTACAAGTTAGCATCAGTAACACACACATGCCCTGGATTAGTCACCAGTGGTGTCACCATTTCTGCTTTACATTCCATATGCAGCGTTTCAGAAATGCTTTGAAATCTACAAGTGAAGAAAGGGAGTAAGTTTACCTCCAGTTCTTACTTAGGTAGAGCTATGCTTAAATTCTTTAGAAAGGTTTAGGTTAGCTTATAACCTTAGGACATCAGAATGGGGACTTCACTAAGCCTATTTTAGATATGAAGAAAGTTCTTTGTTGAGACCTCTACTTTAACAGGCACTACAGAAAGGAAAGGTGCCATGTTCTGCACCAGTTTCAGAGCTGTAAGCTCTGACTTTTCTATACAGAGCTTTATTTGGCATATATACTAATGCCCAATTTGCAACAAATTCACAGATAAACAGAACAGTTCAGAGAGATAAAGTAACATTCATCTTCACAACGCAGAATCTCCTATTCTCCACCTCAGATGGTTCAGCATACAAAGAAGATAATTCCCTGAATAAGAGCACTTTTGCTAACCCAAACAAGCATGTATTAAGTACTTATGCAGTAGACTAGTCAACCAACAAGCTGAAAATCATTTCCCAGTAGAAAGTGATTAGAAAGATACCTGTTTTTATCAAATGAAGTTCTAGCCAAGCGCGATTGCAATATAGCAGTTATCTGATGTGGAGAGGAAAAAAAGTTAATATGGTCTATGATTCAAATGCAATTAGAATTTCATTATTAAACAGTGATATCAGAAATAATCAGATACTTACCATGGCAGCTTGATCCCCCATCCTATCTAGACAAGAAGCCCTGTAAAGCTAAAGAGCAATGAGCTTTAAGTGAAATAGCACAGAACTCCCACACAGCTCAGAAGTTAATACAAACTGCGGCAGGGCAGGGTGGGGGAGGGAGAGTATTCTTGGTGACAGAACACTAAAAGAGCTTTTATTATTTCTTTTTAAAGTAGGATGTGTCTCTTCATTGCTACTGTTATGTTATTACTTTGTTTATATACTATCACCCTGCATAGTAAAAGCTAATATGGGTAGCTTACACCAACTGTCAGAACTTGATGCTATGTTCAAATGCTACATTTTAAAAATAGATACTCCAAGAATTTCACCTTAAGAATACATATTTGAAGAAAGCTCTCCATTAAATATCAAAAAAAGATGCTGTGATGAAGCGTGTAGTAATATCAAATAACCACATACCTGATGCAGAGTTTGCACAACATCTCCTAGTTTCCCAGCAACATCCAGTTGGAATAAGTGTTCTGTTCTACCCTAAATCGAAAAGTACATTTACTACAAACAAGTTTAAAATAAAGCTCAGTGAAAAAAAGTTAAAGCTAAAATCAAAATACTTTAAACTCTGGTCAAAGTATACTATCAAAGGTTGCAGTATACCTGAAACATTCCAAAGGCAGATGTTAAACCTGATTTTTTTTTTTCTTTACAAATGTATCTTCCCTGTGGTAAGCTCTTTGTGCAGTATTTAGTCCATTATTTAATACAATGCAACATAATGGCTTTGAAGTGAACAAACTACTGTAGTATAAACATCAGTAAATGTAGAAGTAGCACCTGCTCTGCACATGGATCAACTGATATTAACTCTTCCACCTAAGTGATATTTAGCAAAGGTGGTGGGATCTCTTAGTGACCCAGAATGTAGTGCAAAACCATATCAACACACTTCTGTAGGGTTTTGTAATTTCTCAGGCTAGACTTAAAAAGGTGATCAGTAGGACTACATCAAGACATTGATCACTGGATACAACAGGATTAATTTAAAACTGAAGGAAAGACAACATGGAAATGTAGATGATCTTCAGTATAATGTATGCGATCTGAGCTGAACTGACAGCAATCCAAGAGGAAGCATGCTTCAGGAAGCAAATGGAACTGGATTAAAAGGAGAGAAGAAATTCAGTAGCGATTTAGATAAAAGCCCTGTGACATTTCACCCAGAACAACATTTTCCTTCAACAAGGAAAGCACAGCTCTCAGAAATCCTAGTGGATGGTCTACAAGAATTGCTTACAGCCAAAAATGTAAAAGATTTCGTGAGCAGTTCTCTCTGTAGTTCTCCAGCCATATGCAAAAACAATAGCTCAGTATTTTGTAAGTGATCCGAAACAATCAATGCAAGACATGGAAGATAAAAATGTACTACCAAATTCCAGAACTGAGTGATGCATCTGGAACTGGCAATGATTCAAGTAGAAGATATTTAGCAGCAACAGAAAAAATTCTGAAATTATTGAAGGCAAACTAGATTTCTTGTCTTAATATACATAAACATAGCTGCACTTTTGTGAAGTGAATTGTAATGGTTAACTGTCAGGAATGTTTTAGGTATGAATGAATCTTGACTTAGGAGAAAATAAAGTGAAAAAAGCCTTCCAAACAGCCCTTTTGATTCTTTTCTTTTTCACTGTGTGGGCAATGTGATATTCATATGACACTTAATAAATCTTGCACTTGGAGGCAAAACAGAAAATAGAAGGATTAGAAGAGAAAACAGATTCAACGCATGAAGAATTAATGGCATAAAGGAAACAAACAAAAAAATCCTAGTTTAGAGACAGATCTAATCACAAATCCAACCCAAAGCAGTTGTTGAGAGAACAGACATCACCTCAAGTTTACAGACTCCTTAATCCATGTTTCTTGAACAAGTATGTTGAGAAATGTAACACTCTCTGTTTCAATTCTTGGGCAATTATGGTGCTTAATGACTCTGCATTTTCCTGTTGTGTTTGTGTCTTAACCCATCTTGCATTCCAGATGAAAACCCCTTACTTCTATGCCTTGAAGCCTCCAGGCTTGGCATCAGAGCAGACCTACCCCATCAGCAGAAAGCAACCAAAAGTAAGCTCCGATTTCTGCTGTGAGCAGCCTTATCTGCCATTTATTTGAACTGTGATATTTCCCAGCCGAGTGCTTCAATTGGCAATCTCTCATCTCAGATGTGAGCAGAACTGAGGAGAAGCCATTTATCCAGGATGCAGTGTCCACTGAATACTAGCAGCCAGCTGACAGCTCTTGACCGTTGAGCCCACAGAGTTGCACATCAAGGTAAATAGCAAGTGTCAAGTCTGCAGTATGTCCTCCAAGAAATATCACAAACCCATTATGGAAGAATTCAGACACTTGTTTTATCAATATGCACAATTACTTTTTTTTTAAGCTTTATTGTCATGTTCCTCAAACAATAATTATCTTACTCTTTCAGAAATGAGACCATAAATCCTTGCAAAGCATTAGCTTGCTAAGAACAGGAATATATATATACTTACTCTTACTGTTTTATAGGGTGCAATAATGTTTCTTTCTTTAATGAGAAAAACCTGAAAGAGTAAGAGATGTTACAGTTTCAGTCCTTAAAAAATAATAAAATAAATTGGAAGTACTGATAAAGACAAAGCTAAGAACGCTGTTAAAGCAAGCGGAACACTGCGTTGCAATATCCTACTTTAGCTACCCCAGATAAACTGCAGAAAAACAATGACCTTTTATAGCAGCTAACTGCAAGAGGGGCAAGTATCCAATTTAGTTCAGAGGCTTATTACTTATGTAGTTTATTAGTGGGTTTTTATTCTAATCATAAGACCTTCAAGGAGTTGCACGTTTAAAGCCAACAAGCACAGCCAGCAGCAACCACACTCAATGGAAGGATCCTCCCCCTCTTTTCTTCTGGCAGCTCATGCTCTCAGTATTATGACCCAATGGGAATTATCCCACAAAGGTAACTCACAACGTAAACTACTGTGTAAAACTTGTCAAATGAAACCCTTTGCCCACTTCCAAACATTTTGCTTCCAGTTCAAACAGCCATGAACATCAGATTTCTTCTCTCATCCAGCAGCATATTTTTGAAGTTCTGTTTCTCTGATGCTATTCTCCCATCTGAGAGGATCTTCCCTCCCTAAAACCCACATGAAACCATTCTCCTTCTTCAGAACATTCTCCCAACTCCTATAGAAAGATTTGACTGCTAGCACATTGTTTTGTAGATACCAACTTATTAGTTGGTATCTGCTGTCTGAAAGATGACAAGCCAGAAATAAGTCATGGTTTTGCTCTGTTTGTAGGGAAGGATCAAACTTGCTAAATCTCAGGCCTGAGTATAAGACTCAGGATTGTTTCTGAACTGCACAAAACACACTGGACTGCACTACCAGCTGTCTTCTACTCCATGGCCCAAGAGACCTGGCCAATCAAAGGGCTTTTTCTGGTGCCTCTGTTTGCTTCTGAAGTCTAACACCATGCCTGTGGTTCTACACTCCAAGGCACTGTGGCAGCAGCCTCAAACCAAGAGCAAACATTAAACTTCCAAAACAACAGATGCTGTACCATTCTCTAGCCAAAAACCTTCTGGCTGGCACATACAGCCTTCCCACGTCCCACCAGCTAACAACAGAGCCAATCTTCACCACACGAGTGCTCACAGCACTGTCCAGCCAGAAGAAAGTGAGTGGTACGCTTAGAAGCTTACAAGCTCAGCATGCCTCTCTAAGTGGTACATGGAAAAATAATGGCAATTAGTGCCTTTCATCTGACATCAGCTTCTACAGACCTGAATCAGGCCATAAGAGAATAAGAATCAGAGACACCTGCTTTACACTCAGATCTCTCTTTTGCAGGATAATTAAATATTTTTCTAAAATTAGAGCCACAAATCACAAGAAAAATTATACAATACCAAAAAAAAAGGAATCAGAGCAAAAACTTTAGCTTACTGTATTAATTTCCAATTTTGGAGGATTTTCCCCCCTCAATTTTATCTTGAGAAAAAAATACTGAAAAAAGCTCCACTTATTATTTGCATTTGCTGCATTTTATAGCCATTAGTTTCTGGGTTGCCTGTTACATAAAGCAAAGCTTCTTATCCAGCTATGCATTAACAGTATTTTTTTGGAGCCTGAAAAGGCAAACATGTTTAAGATGTTCCAGTTATTTGCTACATGCCGTTTCCTACCAGGTGGGAATTTTACTTCAAAAAAATATTTATAATTGAATCATGATTTGTCATAAGTACAACTAGTGAGTACTTCACGCTCAAAAGTCCCTATGCCTTTTATATAAAATGCCAGCATGTATCATGCCACCAAACTGTTTCAGAACATTTCTCCAGAGATAAAAGGACAACTGGCAAGCTACACATAGGGGTTGGGGAGTGGCGAGTGCTAACCACACTTGCTATTTGAAAAGTTAATTCTCCTTTCCTATGAGATGTTTTTATAATCATTTGTTCTTCAGAACATATACTAATGATGTATGGTGGAACAATTGCACGGAACAATTAGAAATACCTTTTTAAAAAAAAAACACAATACGCGAAAAAACTGCCAACACAAGAAACCTTGACTATACAATACTCTCCACAGAGCAGTTTCAAGATGAAATTAAATAACTGATTACTTTAACACAGTCCACAAACTTCTCTAGCACAGACAGTATTAAATGTTTGAGTTCATTTTTGACTGCAGCAGTACTTAACTAAGCAAGGCTATCAATTTTATGTATTGTTAAAGACAGATTTTACAAAGATGCTAGAATGTTTAAAAGGGTATTTCCCACCTCATCCCTGTTCTTGCCTGAAATGAAAACATGAACTTTTTTTTTTAAACTTTTACAGCTTTGGAACACCTACTGGCTGCATTTTATCAAAGCTTGAAGTATATTCCTTTGGTTAACACCAAGTATGAACATATCCAAGTTAATCAAAACTCATGATTGAAACTTGAGCCCAGTATTTCAGGACAGCTACTGAAAATTACTTGGTGGACATATAGCACAGCCCAATGGTTTCACAAACCTGAACTGCAAAGATCAAGATGGCTTTGCCATTACTACTACATGCTGCAGAAAGTAGGAAAAAGCAATATATAGCAAGAGCAAAACAAAGATATAAATAACCAGTTTAATTTCAGTCTATTCCCCTTTTTTATTCAATTCCAATATTGCCCTAAGCTCCATTATAAAATGCACAGTGCAAAAAGTTCACTGTATCAAATTAATGACTTAATGAAGTTGTTAACAGTTTGACATTTCCAGCATCAACAGCTTCACATTAATGCAAAGTTTTTGACACTAATTAGTTTTGTTTCCAGTTAACCCCCCCCAAGACTCCAGCTCCAAGAAAGACATTATTAAAGAATGTAACCTCGCTCACTTATACATCAAGAATGTAGCAAGTCTTACCTGATTACATACAACAGAAATCCCTCCAGATGTATCCCTAAAATGTAAATAAGACATTTGAAGAGACGAGCATTTCAGCTTTTTATACATATTTAACTCTTTTAAAGTAACTCAATTCCACATACCATGTGAAAGGGTTATTTGCTTCATTGTCTTCTGGGGCTTTTATACTAATGCAGTCTCTCAGTGGTATCTGTAGCAAGTTATAAAAATACATACTCCTTCTTAAAAGCTTTTTAAAGACAATCTTAAGTTATCAAGAAATTGTAAGGTTGCACTGCTTACCTTGATAATGGGTTGGATATTGTCATCAGGTTCAAAAATGATTGATTTTGAACAGATTTTTAGAGAGCCTCTGAATTTTCTAGAAGAAACAATAAAAAAGAAAGTTGTTGTGTATCTGCTAGGGCAACATGAGACTAGAATGACTCCAGTAAACAAATGTATGTACAAGTTTTGTACCTTTCATCTCTGCAACCTTTATTTGTAATATGATTTGCTGTGTGCTGTTCAAAGTAATATTCTTCCAGGTTAAGAAGTAGCAGTGAAAACCTACAAATAAATAAAAATTATTTATTCAAAAAGAAAACACCATGAAAGTTAGTATTCTTAATAAAATATGTCTTCACTTATTTCTGTGCCGTGCCCCACAGCCCAAGAATTAATTTAAATTAACTCTTTTTAAAAAGAAACCTATATGGAAAATTTGTGTACACATGAAGATCAATTGATGCTCTTCCAACATATATAAGGTTAGATATTTGATTCTGTTCATATGTCCCAGGTGGGAACTATTCTAACATAGCCAGGCTCTACCCCTAGTAAACATTAGTTTAGCCCTCATCAGTGTATGCCAGTCAAGATATGCAATGATATAAAAGGCAGGAACTAAACACTTGGAATGGAGGAGATTAGAACTTTCTGAAGCAAAGCCAAATCACATTGGTCTAAAATGCCAAGTGAAAACACGGCAGAGTCACTTGATGGATAACCTCTGAGGAAGCATTACCTTCTTGTCGAACCACATTTCTGTACCAGTGACAGTGCCTGTTCAACCCTGCAGGAATCCTGTTTATGGACTAGTCCAATAGACAACAAACCTCAACAACAACAATAAAAAAACCCGAAGTCTTGCAAAGTATATAATTGCAGGATCATAGTAATGCCAGTGATGGTACGAGGTAAATGCAAATAGACTAGATTAGATCACAGAATCACTAAGGTTGGAAAGGACCTTCAAGATCATCAAGTCCAACCATTAACCCAGCACCACCATGTCCCCTAAACCATGTCCTGAAGTGCCACATCCACGTTTTTTGAATACTTCCAGAGATGGTGACTCTACCACCTCCCTGGGCAGCCTGTTCCAATGCTGGACCACTCTCTCGGTGAAGAAATTTTTCCTAATATCCAATCTAAACATCCCCTCGCACAACTTGAGGCCATTTCCTCTCGTCCTATCACTAGTTACTTGGGAGAAGAGACCAACAACCACCTCACCACAACCCCCTTTCAGGTAGTTGTAGAGAGCGATAAGGTCTCCCCTCAGCCTCCTCTTCTCCAGACTAAACAACCCCAGTTCCCTCAGCCGCTCCTCAGAAGACTTGTGCTCCAGACCCCTCACCACCTTTGTTGCCCTTCTCTGGACACGCTTGAGCACCTCAGCATCCTTCTTGTAGTGAGGGGCCCAAAACTGAACACAGGATTTGAGATGCAGCCTCACCAGTGCTGAGTATGGGGGCACAGTCACTTCCCTACTCCTGCTGGC